GACTGTATCTATAACTCTAAAACTATTGAAGTTAGATAAATGTGCCAAGAACAGTTTTAGGATTTTACTTATCTAATACATACTTACAAATAATAAGGATAGTTTGCAAAAAATATTTTGGTCCCCTGTAGAATAGAAAAATAAAGGATACGTATACCTTTTTTCTAAATGGAATAAATAAAATATACTTGTGACGTAGAATTGACCGTATATTATTATTATTATTATTATTATTTATATAATTGATGCATAAGTTTTTAACATTTTAAAGTCTTAAATTGAAAGTTTAAATATAAATCCTAATGTTTTTAACTTATTGCAGTTGAACCTCAGTGACTTTTAATGTAAATATCTAAAAGAAGACATAAATGCCATTGGATATTACAAAATAATTCCGAAACAATCATTTATCCACAAATATAAACAAAAATAATTGCAATTTCTATTATTCGAACTTTTGATTATCTGAACCAGATCCTACCTGAATTAGTTCGGATAATTCAGTTTCCACTGTATTTATAAAAAATTATGAAATTTTTATAGTATAGTCATTAATGTCTTAAAAATAAATCCGGGAATAATTTAGTTTTAGGTCCGGGAAATCCGGAATTTTGAAAATCATAATTCGCTAGACACCCTGATGACTTTTCCAGTAACAAATCTGATAAATTTCCAGGTCACCTTTTGAACATTATAAATTAGAGCAATTTTTGAAGAAAAATTGGCCTAATAATAATAAATTAGAATTTTTCTGTATTATAAAAATATTCACGTCAGATTATCTCTATTTGATTATTAAAGCACAGACAGGGTGTCTACTGAAAATATGACTTAAAATTCCAGGACATTCCAGGACAGATTTTTTATTTTTCCAGGACATTTACATGTGTAATATTATTTCATATTACGATTAACATAATTTAAATTAACCTATACTTGAACAAAAATATTTATTTTATTATAAAAAGAGTTCAAAATTAATATTATATATAGATATCAGATTCTCAAACGACAAATTAAAATTATTTTTTAAAGGATCAAAAAAATTATTTTTTTAAATTTGAGTAAAATTTTTAAATTATTGAATATTTAAAAGCAAAATATGGAAAATTCAAGACATTTCCAAGAATTCCAGGACATCATTTTTTAAAAGAAAAAATGTAGTAAAAAATATTAAGTGGAATAAAATTCCAGGCATTTCCAGGTATTCCAGACCTTTTTTTTTTTTTAAAAAAATCCCTGACTTTTCCAGACCATTTTAAAAAATCCCTGACTCTTCCAGGTTCTGTAGCAACCCTGATATTGTTCAAAACTCACACGTTCAATAATAGTTACTATATTCTATTGATATATAAAAAAAAATGTTGGTTCTGCTTTTAAATATTAATATAAAGAACATAGAATTCAAACGTAAAAATATTTGTTGGCCCTGAAAAGGGCCGATTGTTTTGTGTGAGGGTGAGTATGATGGATAATTTAAGCTTTCTTTTCGGTCTTCTTGGGCAAGAGAACAGCTTGAATATTAGGGAGAACACCACCCTGGGCAATGGTGACTCCAGAGAGGAGCTTGTTCAATTCCTCGTCGTTCCTGATGGCGAGTTGGAGATGACGGGGGATGATTCTCGACTTCTTGTTGTCACGAGCTGCGTTTCCGGCCAACTCCAAAACTTCAGCAGCCAAGTATTCCATCACAGCTGCGAGGTACACTGGAGCACCTGCACCAACACGCTCGGCGTAGTTTCCTTTGCGCAAAAGCCGATGGATACGACCGACTGGGAACTGGAGTCCAGCCCGGTTGGAGCGAGTCTTTGACTTTCCCTTGGTTTTGCCACCTTTGCCACGTCCTGACATTTTCGATTTAGTTTTAGGTTAACGAAGTAAGCACAACGAAGAATTCGAAGCGAATGATATTTTGCTCCAGAAATCCGCCTATTTACGCTCTCTCCACAGGTCACGCCCACAAGTACGCTCCCCTCTCTTTGTCGTGAGTGGCAGATGGTCGCAGTGAGTGCCCGCACCAATCAAAATGCCGCAGGCGGACATAAATACGGTGCCGCCAGTGTGCAAAATATCAATTTACCCTGAATTGCCTTTGTGTTCAGACGTACACTCTCTGAAAACTAACTATGCCTCCTAAAGCCAGTGGCAAAGCTGTCAAGAAAGCCGGCAAGGCTCAAAAGAACATTACCAAGACCGACAAGAAGAAGAAGCGCAAGAGGAAGGAGAGCTATGCCATCTACATCTACAAAGTGTTGAAGCAAGTGCACCCCGACACTGGAGTCTCCAGCAAGGCCATGAGCATCATGAATTCGTTCGTGAACGACATCTTCGAGCGCATCGCTGCCGAATCCTCCCGCTTGGCACACTACAACAAGAGGTCCACCATCACCTCCCGGGAGATCCAAACTGCCGTCAGGCTTCTCCTTCCTGGTGAACTCGCCAAGCACGCCGTCTCTGAAGGCACCAAGGCTGTCACCAAGTACACCAGCTCAAAGTAAATTCTTGTCCACCCTCAACAAAACAATCGGCCCTTTTCAGGGCCAACAAAAAATTTTTACGAAAGAATTATTTGGTTCTATAACAACAATGTTTGTGTATGCAAAGTGTTCTTATTTTTCTTAGCCCGGTGCATGGTTATCGATACATTTTACACATCTATATTCTAAGAAACAATTCGAAGCTATACATGCCCCAATGTCTGACATTTCTTACACTGTATACTTTCTCTTTTTTCAATTTTTCCCACCTGATAACTTAGTGATTAATGTATTTAATTTTATAAAAGAAATTTGATGTTAGCTGTTCTAAGAAAAAATGTAATGTTGTATTCTCTTTTTGAGATGTAAGGTCTTAAAATTTTTGAAATGCATATAATCATAGAAATAATATGTACTTTCTGACACTATTTTTAAAAAATTTCTAAGAGTTCGAAAAAAACCACGAAAATTTCGTTTTCTTACACACAAGTCCTATTGGAGACATGTTAAAAAGGCTTCGGAAATAAAATTATTGTAACTTTTATTAAAAAGAAAAAAAAGCCAACAGCACGCGGTATTCCCAAGCGGTCACCCATCCAAGTACTAACCGCGCCCAAAGATGCTTAACTTCAGTGATCGGACGAGAACTGGTTTTTTTTTTTTTTGCATTTGTAATTGTTTATTTATTGCCAAAATTAATAATAATACAAGGTTTCACAATAAACGATGAAATCATTTTTACATTATTATAAAGGACTTACTGGCTAATACAAAGCTCTCGAAGTCGCGTACAATATTTTATGCCCACGAATGCATATATTAGTTAATATTTTTATTCTATATTAAAGATATTTTTTCTAATTCCCAGGAGAAATATTCAATTTGCTTTTTATCGATCAGAAAGGGCTTAAGAAAACTGATCATTGACGAGAACTGGTTTTTTCATCGTGGTGTGGCCGTTGCCTGTAAACTCAAGTGTTCTAAAAGTTTTACATTAGTACATGAGCAAACTGTTTATAATACTCTTTCTTGTAAATAACGTCTTTTTTTATTTTCACGCATTTTCAAATCAGTACATTAGTAGCTTTCAATTTGAAATTCACTTAGTTTGAAGAAATTTTGCTTTCTCTCAAAGGAAGCCTTATTAGTGATGTCGACTTCCGCACTTCTTAGAATCAATTATTTTTTCAAATCTCCAGTTGCAGTATATATGAGCCGCAGGATAGTAAAATCACGCATACAATTTCCTCATGCGTTTGAGTGTTGGCCTCTGATGGTTGAAAAATCGATGGTCATAAAAAAATTTTTTGAAATCACTTCCTTATTAGAAATTCGATTCCTCATATTTTTTCTTCTATAAAAAAAAATTGATAACTCTTACCATTTTCGAGAAAAATGCAAAAAAATGAATTTTCTGAAAACACATTTTTAATTGAATTTTTAACTTTAACTTGCTCTAAAACATAAAGTTATGAATATTTTCTTTTTATATTTACAGGGAGTATAGTTTAAACACAACAAACTTTGGCAAGAAGTAAAATATTTTGATTAAAAAAAGTTATTATTTCTTTCCATACACAGTGTCAAAATTATTATTTACAATGTTTGAGGACTTTGTTTATCTGAAAAATTTTTAGTAATCGAAAACTTCCAGTGAAGAAAATGTTCATTAAGGTATAATAAATATTTTTGCCAAGCAGTTTTACTCTAGGATTAACCGTTTAGTAAATATTATTAAAAAACTATTTTCTGACAAATGCGCGCGAGTCAGGAGTCTAGCCTATGTGTTGAGTTGACAATGCTAAGTCTCAAGATTGTTTGTTTTAGCCGCGCGCATTTGTCAGAAAATAGTTTTTTTTTAATAATATTTATTAAACGGTCCAAAGTTTGTTGTCTTAAGGATAGTTTAAACTATACTCCCTGTAAATATAAAAAGAAAATATTCATAACTTTATGTTTTAGAGCGAGTTAAAGTCAAAAATTTAATTAAAAATGTATTTTCAGAGAATCCAGTTTTTTGCATTTTTCTCGAAGTTATCAATTTTTTTTTATAGAAGAAAAAATATGGGGAATCAAATTTCCAATAAGGAAGTGATTTCAAAAATTTTTTTTATGACCATCGATTTTTCAACCATCAGACGCCTGAGGAAATTTTATGCGTGATTTTACTATCCGGCGGCTCATATATTTCGTCAAAAAGAACAAATGTGTAAATTTATTTCTTTCTCTGCAACTACTTAGTAAAAAAAAGTTGTTTTAACTACATTACTACATAAATGTAACAACTTTCAGAGGTTGAATTTACTATATAAAAAAAAGTAAATTTCATATTGTTTGCAACTAATACAAAATAGTTATAATTGCTAGCCCAACAAGTGCATTATGCATCAAATAAGGCTAGAATGTAGGTGTAGACATGATTTACTATATTATATACACACTGATGGATTGCACTATAATGCTTTTATCATAAAACTATGTTAATGAAAAAAATTATTCAAACGTAAAAAAGATTTGGTGGCCCTGAAAAGGGCCGATTGTTTGTTGATGATGACGATGATGGAAAAATTAACCGCCGAAACCGTAGAGAGTACGGCCTTGACGTTTGAGAGCATAAACGACATCCATAGCGGTGACGGTCTTCCTCTTGGCGTGTTCGGTGTAAGTGACGGCGTCACGGATCACGTTCTCAAGGAACACTTTCAAGACACCACGGGTCTCTTCGTAAATCAATCCTGAGATACGTTTCACTCCACCTCGACGAGCCAGACGACGGATGGCGGGCTTGGTGATACCTTGGATGTTATCACGCAACACTTTGCGATGGCGCTTTGCTCCTCCTTTTCCCAATCCCTTTCCTCCCTTACCGCGACCAGTCATTTTCACAGAGAATAAAGTTTACGTTCAAACAGAACAGAAGACAAACTCGGAATGATGCTAAGTCGGTGAAAGTGCGCTGTTTTATTCCCTCTGGAGTTACACTGCTCCCCTCCACAATCTGACTGACCAATCAGGATGTTAGTGTCCCCTTCCTCTTGACTAACTGGTGCAAGAGCTTCTGAGATGTATAAATATGTGCGCTTTTACCGCGCTAACCGTTATTTTCAGTCGTCACTCGTACTCTGAACTTGTAAGCAATGGCTCGTACCAAGCAAACCGCGCGAAAATCCACCGGTGGTAAAGCACCAAGGAAACAACTCGCCACCAAGGCCGCGAGAAAGAGCGCGCCTGCAACCGGTGGAGTGAAGAAGCCCCATCGCTACAGGCCCGGAACCGTCGCTCTCCGTGAAATCCGTCGCTACCAGAAGAGCACCGAGCTCCTCATCCGCAAACTGCCCTTCCAACGCTTGGTCCGTGAAATCGCTCAGGACTTCAAGACCGACCTGCGCTTCCAGAGCTCCGCCGTGATGGCCCTCCAGGAGGCCAGCGAGGCCTACCTCGTCGGTCTCTTCGAAGACACCAACTTGTGCGCCATCCACGCCAAGAGAGTCACCATCATGCCAAAGGACATCCAATTGGCTCGTCGCATCCGAGGAGAACGTGCTTAAATTTCCCTACCACTCTCAAAACTCAATCGGCCCTTTTCAGGGCCAACACATTTTATTACGTTGAAATATTTTTAATTCTTATAAAAACATGCCTTACTATTCTATAAACAACCTTTTTTCTTTTCATCGAAAGAGTTTGTTATTTTGACGAAACCTACAAGTGAATGTAACTGATAAATGGTTATTCACTATTTTATTATTAAAAGTATTACTATATTTGGATAACTGGCTTTCTACTATGAGATTAATTATTTTTATAGCTAATACAAATATAGAAATTATAGACTATGCAAGAAATAGTGAGGGAATTTTATGACAAGAACTGGAAAAATGTAAAAATAAATAATCTGTTTTTTTACAATAATTTATAAGTAACTATTTGTTATATTTTACAATGTTAAATTAATATTACTAATATAGATTGAGCTTCAAAAAGTTTTATAGGAAAGTTGAATTGTACAAAATTTTAATTAAACATTCTGAATAAGTTAGCATTTTGAAACATTTTTATTCCTTTTTTGAAAATTACTTATATATGTACGTATTTTCAAATTATTAGAAATTTTATGAAATTGTTTGTCTTGCAAATAAGGACAGTATTTTATGACACTGAAAATTACTGGATTATGCCCTGAAAAACTGATTATTATGCGTTGAAAAATCAAAAAGTGCAAAATTGATGCTTTTGAAAGAAAAACGTTATTAAGGACCAAAATAAAGCTTTTAACATAAGGTTAATTAAAAGATGCATTTTAAACTAATATATATAGCTAGAATAATATAATATATACCTATTAAATTAAATATAAATAATAATAATAAAATAAGTTGTAGGCTACAAAAATTGATCATTTGCATGAATTTTTTTTAAGAAAAACCACCAACATTTTTAAATAAAGCAACTTATTCTCTATATTCATAAGAAGTAATAAAAAAATTCTTTTTTGACAAAATGACAACCACTGAAATTTAACGTATCGATTTTTTCTAAAAAAAACTGTGGGTTCTTAGCTGTAAAAAGATATTTTTGCAGAATTTTCACTAAACTTTGCAAGTGAATAATTCCAAGTTTGCAAGTAAATTTTTAGTAAATATTTAGGAAATTTTCGGTGCTGTGTGGGTAAACTTAAAAAAAATACAAGAAAAAAAAACCCATTTTTTGAAAATTACAACTAGGGTTGAATTTCGTTAATTCAGATTTAGACTGTGGAATATTTTTATATTTCTTGCACAAAAAATAAAATTATGCGAGAATTAAAAAATTGTGCGATGAAAAAAAATTATGCGTTTTGATGACACGTTAAATTTATTTTATTTTATTCATAAACATGATAAAACGTAAAACTTTCTTTCAATTTTTGAAATTTATGCGATTATGCGCTTCGCACAAAGTGTAGGTCTCTACTTGCAAACAAGTGATTTCCTCTTCAGGGAGTCTATAAAAACAATATATAAAAAATATAAAAATAATAAACGAGTTTACAAAATATAAATACAAAATTATGAAATTATAATAAACACAAAATAAATACAAAATAAAGAGAGTTTAAAATTTCTTACCGAAATAAATCAGTGATATAGTTTACATCATCTTTTTCAAATCGTCATAAAAATAAAAATAAAAATTGTCCATTTTCACGTTAAACCTATAAACGTTGGAAAACGTTGGAGTCAATAACAAAAATAAGAAAATAGTAAAGTGAAAATAATAATAAAATAAATAATAGATGTAAACTACTAATATCATGTCGAGTCATGAGTGACCCTGACAAAATTCAGTGAATTTTTTAATTTTGCCAGACATGTGATATACCCGTTATATTTTTTATTATAGCTGAAATGTTGAAAAAGAGAGAAACAAAATAAATTCCTTCGTAAAAATGTTTGGTGGCCCTGAAAAGGGCCGATTGATATAGACGAGCAGCGAAAATGTCTCCGAATTAACATTATATCTACTGCTTTGCAACTTTCTTAACCGCAGTCTTCCTGGGCTTCGGAGAAGCTTTCTTGGCAGCTGCAGGTGCCTTGGATTTCTTGGGAGAAGCCTTCGTAACTTTGGGTTTGGCAGCGGTAGATTTGGCCTTTGGCGGTTTGGCCGCGACCTTTGCTGGCTTCTTCTTCTCGGCTACTGCTGGTTTCTTAGCCTTTGGTGCTTTCGGCTTAGCTTTTCCCTCAGACTTGGCGACGTTCAATTTGAAGGAGCCCGCAGCACCTGTTCCCTTGGTTTGAATCAGGGTCTTGTTGGCGACGGCCGCTTTCAGGTACTTCCTGATGAAAGTAGCTTGCCTCTCAACGTCGACTACGTACTTGCCGGCAATGAACTTCTTGATGGCTTGCAGAGACGAACCTCCCTTCTCGTTCAAATGAGTGATGGCTGCAACGACCATCTCTGATGCTGGCGGATGAGCGGCCTTCACACGAGGCTGTTTCGACTTTGCAGCTCCCTCGGAAGGTGCAACTGCAGGCGCAACAGTGGATTCTGCTTTCTCTGCCATTTTGAAATTGAATTTTTAGTTTAGATTATAAATTGAAGACTAACTCTAGGATGCACTCGATGCAACTAGTCAGGCTGTAATGAAAAAATTTCCAGGTTCGCGGCGATATAGTAAAACGCACGAACGGTGAAGAAAGGCCCCATTGCACATGAACGTCGATTTCTCTAAACTTGGGCAAACTTGGAACTATATTTCAAATTTTTAACAGACAAATAATAATTTGTTTATAAACTTTTAAATCACTAAAATAATGGTTGATAACTGTAATAAGTTTTAGATGTAATTGATTAATTTTTTATGATTTATAGAAAGTGGATGAGTAAATAAACATATTTTTCAAAATTTTGAACATTACTTTGTAAGACTTTCATTAGTAAAGATTGATATAATAATACGCAGGGTTGCTACGATTTTCATTCAATAAAATTCCATAACTTTTCCAGGTTTTCCAGGGCTCGAGAAATATTTTGTATAGAAAAATTTTAATTTTTTACTTGTTTTATTTCTTTATTTCAATTTATGTACTTATGTACTTTATTCTAATTAGTGATTTGATGATGTTGGCGAACCAGTCCATTGAAATGTAAAAAAAACAATGAAATATTGAATTTCATTTATTTCTTTTTTCCAGAATCGAATAGAAATTATTATTAAAATACTAAGTAAATAAAAATTTCTATGAAAACAGTGAAGTGATACTTTTTTATGTAAAACGAAATTGTAAATTTAATAAAAACACACACAGAAAATGTATACTTGTCTCACAGCCAAATATAAATTTATTTGTTCCGAATAAAATGTCCACACATTACAACAATGACAATTTCATCAAGAAATTCAAACCTTTTTTACTTTTTAATATACCGTAAACTGGAGCTATTAGGAACAGTCTTGCAACTTTTTTGTGTATTGAAATATTGCCTTAATTTTTTGTTTCTTTTCTTGATCTTGGCGAGCACATTGAAGGGTTAAATAATTGTCTTGATCAAAGCTGGAATTTTAAGAAAAAAAGACTAAAAAGACGCATTTTTTCGAACTTACAAAATGGGGCTCAAAAGTAAACACAGAATATAAAACAAATGTAGAAACAAAACTAGAAGAGCGAATGTGTGTTTTAAACGTTGCTGGTATCATCAGTTGAGGTCGATGATGGAATCACTGGTCGTTTTTTGCGACTAGTCTGTCTTAACACTCTTTTACAATTTCGAACTATCTTTGAACACTAGAAACCAAATAAGGTGATAAAAATACAAAATAAACATATTTATTACTTAGTGAACTCAATAGAGTTTCCCATAAGAAATCCCATTAATAAAAAACAATCACTTTGAGAAGTTAAAAATAAATCAACTTACCTCAGCAATCAAATATTTTCCACATTTGAAACTTCACTGAAACACATTTAGTCACTTACAAGCTACTATTGTTCACAAAATAATTAATAGTCACAATTATTGCATTGAAAAGTATTGCTAGTTACCGCAGCAACAATTTTTCAAAAGCAAGTAACACAATTTATCGATAAACGGCGCCGATAGCATCAACTCCACCCGAAAACAGAATTTTGTTCCTAATAGCCCCGCAGTTTACGGTAGTTAGCTGGAATTTACATAAACCATGTCTTCTATTCATGTATTATTACTCCTAAAAAATCGTGCTTTTGTCTAATTACCCCAGATGTGATAAAAGCAGGGTATAAAACTAAATATTGAAATGTTTATTAGATCAAAAAGAATGAGTACACTGCGAGTGCTATCATTCATTTCAATCAGCACCTTTTAAACAAAATATTGACGATGTAAAAAAAATTATTGCAATTTCAACAATTTCCTAATTGAATGGGTTATGCTTTGATCATGTGTACTTTTCGTTATTATTGTCGCGTCTACGAGTACAGCTTGTATGCTGTCGATGGACCAATTTATTGTTACTAATTGCTAGACGATTTCTTGTTGCATGTTCGTTGATTACTATGTATTATATACTTGTTACAATAAAAAGTAATTATTAAAAAAAAATCTCGTCCGATCACCAAAGTTAAGCGACATTGAGCGCGGTTAGTACTTGGATGGGTTGACTTTTTTTTAAATTAAAAACTTTATCCAATAAAATTATATTTACCTATATATGTGGACGTCCACATGAAAAGGGCCCTTATTGTCGGTTCTAGTTTTCGAGATAATCGCAATTTAGTAATTTTGGAGCAAAATCTTAATTTTTAAAAATTTTTTATTATCAATCGATAATTTAACTGTTTGATTTCATTGGTTCTTTAGAAAAATGAAAAGGGCCCATTTTGTCGGTCATTTGCAAAAGTAATCCGTATTTTAAAAATGGAGGTGTGGAAAAGTTTAAAACCTCTTGATTTTTCATCTTTAAGGTGTCCTGGACTGTAAACAATTTTTATCTGAATAACTTCTAATATGAGAAGAACCAGAGATATTGATGCTAGAGTCTTTTTTTCGTAATTGTCGAAATGAAAATTTAGATATTGCGTAAATTTTTTCATAATAGAGACTGTCAAAAAATTTTAAATAATTTTAATATCTATTCTTTTTCTTCAAATGACACAATAAAATTGTACCTAATCATTAATCTTTTAAAAAAATGGTTTTTTAATAGAAAAACAGTCCTTTTTAGAAAAGGGCCTATATTGTCGATTTTTCGTATTTTCAAAATTAAGAGGGGGGGGGGGGATGGTTTTAAAAATTTAAAACCTATTGGTTTTTTATCTTCAAGGTTCCCTGAACTGGAAACAATTATTGTCTGAATAACTTCCAAGAAGAACCAGAGATACAACAATTAGTTGGTATCGCAATCTTTAATTCCGTTTTTCTCGAAATGACGTTTCTGGCGTTCTAAACTTTGAAACTCAGCGAATTTTTAACCAAAAAAGTTCTTAGACCACTCAAAATTTTCCAAATTTTGCCAGGAATACGCCCATATAGATAACTCCAATAGTGCCATAAAGGGCCCTTTTCATGTGGACGTCCACATATATAGTTTATTGCAATTCGTTTACTCGTATTATTTTATTATATCAAATTAGCATTTACTTTTTAGACAAAACTAAGGTTTTAATCAACATAAAAAAGTTCTTTATTGTCAGCAGACATATATTCATAAATACACTGTTTCTATATTAATATAAAAAAAATGTCTTGAACTAGATACTATTATATACTCAATTTCTACAAGTGACTTCATGAAAGTTAGTTCTTATACTACACACAAATATCTAAATTCTGGCAGTAAAAAAATGTTCAGTAATAATTGTTTAGAACTAAATAATTCTCTCGTAAAAATTTTTTGTTGGCCCTGAAAAGGGCCGATTGTTTTGTTGAGGGTGGACAAGAATTTACTTTGAGCTGGTGTACTTGGTGACAGCCTTGGTGCCTTCAGAGACGGCGTGCTTGGCGAGTTCACCAGGAAGGAGAAGCCTGACGGCAGTTTGGATCTCCCGGGAGGTGATGGTGGACCTCTTGTTGTAGTGTGCCAAGCGGGAGGATTCGGCAGCGATGCGCTCGAAGATGTCGTTCACGAACGAATTCATGATGCTCATGGCCTTGCTGGAGACTCCAGTGTCGGGGTGCACTTGCTTCAACACTTTGTAGATGTAGATGGCATAGCTCTCCTTCCTCTTGCGCTTCTTCTTCTTGTCGGTCTTGGTAATATTTTTTTGAGCCTTGCCGGCTTTCTTGACAGCTTTGCCACTGGCTTTAGGAGGCATTAGTTAGTTTTCAGAGAGTGTACGTCTGAACACAAAGGCAATTCAGGGTAAATTGATATTTTGCACACTGGCGGCACCGTATTTATGTCCGCCTGCGGCATTTTGATTGGTGCGGGCACTCACTGCGACCATCTGCCACTCACGACAAAGAGAGGGGAGCGTACTTGTGGGCGTGACCTGTGGAGAGAGCGTAAATAGGCGGATTTCTGGAGCAAAATATCATTCGCTTCGAATTCTTCGTTGTGCTTACTTCGTTAACCTAAAACTAAATCGAAAATGTCAGGACGTGGCAAAGGTGGCAAAACCAAGGGAAAGTCAAAGACTCGCTCCAACCGGGCTGGACTCCAGTTCCCAGTCGGTCGTATCCATCGGCTTTTGCGCAAAGGAAACTACGCCGAGCGTGTTGGTGCAGGTGCTCCAGTGTACCTCGCAGCTGTGATGGAATACTTGGCTGCTGAAGTTTTGGAGTTGGCCGGAAACGCAGCTCGTGACAACAAGAAGTCGAGAATCATCCCCCGTCATCTCCAACTCGCCATCAGGAACGACGAGGAATTGAACAAGCTCCTCTCTGGAGTCACCATTGCCCAGGGTGGTGTTCTCCCTAATATTCAAGCTGTTCTCTTGCCCAAGAAGACCGAAAAGAAAGCTTAAATTATCCATCATACTCACCCTCACACAAAACAATCGGCCCTTTTCAGGGCCAACAAATATTTTTACGTTTGAATTCTATGTTCTTTACATTATATAATATTTAAAAGCACAACTAATATTTTTAATAATTCTATTATTTGGAAAATTCATCAAAAATTGTAACAAAATACTTAAAAAAAAAAAATAATTGTTTTTAATTAAATTTTACAATATTTCAATTATTTTATTTTTTGATATAAAAAATGGTGGAAATAGTACGTAATAACGTACTAGGCCGTAATTGTGTACATTTATTTACCTTATTCGTAATCAGCGACCGCGAAAACAGTTTGATATACAGTGTGGCCACATGTCAGTAAAGTCAGGGGAAAAAAAATTTTTTGTCAGGGCAATTAAAGAAATTAAGACGGTCATGCAATACATTTTTTGCTCTAAACAAAAAAATTTTTGTTAAGGAATTTCGTTGTTATGTCAGGGAAATTGATAAAGTCAATCTTGCGGCCACCCTGATATAATTGTGTGAGACATTTTTTTGATAAGATAATGTATAGTGCCTGAGATTTAATGTAATAAAAGTATCCTTCAAAATAGTCTAGTTTTTAGCAGCCACATTGGATTTTGGTTTCTGAATTTTTAAAATTTGACTTCAAATTTGGATTCAGCGTCGAAAATACCATAAATAACGTATGTGTTAAAAATAGTTATTTTCGGAATTTCTGTAGTACCTACTTTTTAAAATCATTTTTTACAGATTTTAACGAATTAGCAAAAATTCATGGATATTTTCTAAAAAAATGGTATTAACATGTTTGGAAGTTTTACGAAAATCACGAAGTTGAAGTCCACAACGTTGATTAACAAAAACGATTTCTTAATTTATTCAATATTATATTTACGTAAAATATACAACAATTTTGTCAGGGGAAATAATTTTAATGTCAGTAAAAATATTTCCATCCTAATTTAAAATGTATACTTAAAGGTAACGTGGAATTGACCATTGTAGTACTCTTTTAAAATTTTGATAAATATAAAAGAATTAAATTGAAGTTTGTTGACTACTATTCTAAATACTTATGTTTGAGACAAAGAAAATTCTTTCGTAAAAAGTAAGTTGTGGCCCTGAAAAGGGCCGTTTGTTTTCTCAATCATCCACTATCAACTTCTTTTCACTTTACTTCTTGGCAACCCTCTTTGCCGCGGGCTTCTTCGCATTGGGCGCTGCCGCCTTCTTGGGCGAAGCTTTGGCCGCCTTCTTGGGAGCAGCCTTGGTCACCTTGGGTTTGGCGGTGGTGGACTTGGCCTTCGGTGGCTTGGCCGCAACCTTCGGGGTCTTCTTCTTCTCGGCGACGGCTTTCTTGGTCTTGGCTGCCACGGCCTTCTTCGGAGAAGCTGCTTTCTTGGCCTTTGGTGCTGCAGCAGCTTTGGGTTTGGCGGCAGTCTTGGTCTTGGGCTTGGCTTTGGCCTTGCCCTCGGCCTTGGCGACGTTCAACTTGAAGGACCCTGCAGCGCCCTTGCCCTTGGTCTGGATCAGAGCCTTGCTGGCGACTGCAGACTTCAGGTACTTTCTGATGAAGGGAGCCTGCTTCTCGACGTCGACTTTGTAGGTGGCGGCGATGTACTTCTTGATGGCTTGGAGCGAAGAGCCGCCTCTCTCCTTCAAAGTGGCGATGGCCGCGTTCACCATCTCCGACGCTGGCGGGTGACTGGCCTTGGCGCGGGGCTTCTGCGCCTTGGCAGCTTTCTTTGGAGTTGCCACTGCAGGTACAGCTGGGGATTCTACCTTGTCTGACATTTTACTAAAGCGGTTTTCGAAAAACTACAAAAAATGTTCAATAACTTGGAGATGCTTTCAACTCAAGCGTTCAAACAGTAATAAACACATTTCCCTGCGCTCGTCGACATAGTAAAACGCACGGACGGTGAAGAAAGACCCCAGCGCTCGTTGGCTTTCTCTCGTTTGAATTCTCGGTAACTTGGGTACACTATTCAAAATTTTATTCACCTTTTTGATCTTTAATTGTTCTTCTCCACTTGCAAATAAATTGAATTTTAATTGTACGATTATTCTAGTTTTCTTATATTAGGAAAAACATAACACTTTCATTGTGTTTTTCGGTAAAAATGATCAATTTTCAAGACTCTGCTTTTAGTGATCATTCTTAACAAGTTCAGAAAATTATAAAAAACAAGTGAACAAATTGATTTGTTTAAAAATTGGCCTTTAAATTTAATGCTCTATTTATCCCCCTTTCTGGATAGAAAAGTTATTTTACTTTGAATTATAAATTGAAGGAGGTACGGTTCCTGCAGTTTGTGTATGAGTTCTTACTTTCGGCACAAAATGCAGACGCACAGTGTGCATTGTCTAGATCAATAATAAAAAGTTTTTAACAATTTTTTCAACATTATTTATATTAAATTTAATAAATTATTTGAATATTTTATTGTGTCATAGAAATTTACTTTGAATGATGGATTTGAAAACAGTCAAATATATATTTGATTGCCGTTTAACGCAGTATTATCATTTTTTTTACTTTCTTGTATACCTGTATTATGCTTGAAAAAAGTTGAAAGTTTTTTTTTAGCTTTTATACTGTGTGCAATTAAAAACAAATAAAAACCTTACATTTATTAATTGAATGTTTAATAATAATAATAATAATAACTATGAAATTGTAAAAGAATAAAATTTATGTTTAAAATAATTATGGCCCGTATGAATTTACGTTTAGGATTGGTAATATATTTTCGAACGTTATTTACAATATAAAATTACGTTACGTTACGCAAATTTGGAAAGTAAATAATTACTTAATAAATTTGATATTAGAATCCTAAATTGTGGAGTGAATTCAATTTTTATCATTGTTTTATATTGTGCAATTTTTTATCTTTTATTTCATTGTTTCGAACAATCAATCTTATGGATTTCAATCATTTTTAGCTTTTTAAAAGAATAAAATTATACTAAGGAATAGAAATAAAAACTTTTTGTATACAAATTTGTTTAAATTGCAAACTAAAAATTGTAGCGATAAAAATATCGCAAATATTTGTTTCGGTGTATGAGCAAAGTTTATATTTACATGTGTGTAATATAAGAAGATGCTACGAATTTTGTCGTACTTTGACGAATTCTTATGCGGTTTCCTAAAAAATGTCGTCGTCTTCTGTAAGAAAAAGCATTGTTTTTCGACATGTAACTTGTGTGCGAATTTATATATGGTGAAACGATATCCGTCTATTGGCCTTGATGTAATTTGCGTTACATTTCATTGAACAATTGCGTCTAAAGGGAAGGATATTTCTCATAAGGAAATTCATCAAAACATCAATTCAGTATAAGGATGAAAGAGATGTATTTTAATTAACAAATCCTTCAATTATCACGCATATATTTGGACCTCATGACGATGTTGAAGCAATGTTCCCGTCACTGAGCCTTTTTTGATGAAAAATGCAATAGAGGAAGCGACAAACAGACAAATTAATACCTACATAAGATATTCTCGATTAAATAATATAAGGAAATGAATGATAACTAAACTTTTATCAAATTATTATTATTTATTTTTATTTTATTTACAAGTAATGTAACAATAGGCTTGTAGCCTTTTTTTACATAAGTGTTTCTTCTTTTCTCATTCCTCCCTATTCACACAAACAAAACGCTCTTATCTTTATTAAATTGTTTACAAAATAGAATAATTTTTTTAGATTTTCACCGTTATCTACATTCAGCAATTCTGTTAAAAAGTTTTTTCGCACATTTTCACTACAACATTCGTTATACGCGGGAACTTTTATCAAATTATTTTTATATTTTATAATGTCATTATTTTATGATTTTATGTAATTATATGATTTCGTGTGTTGTGTGTTAGTGGTAATGTAAATTTATATCGATCATGACGTCATGATTTATAGTGAATTGTAGAATGTAAATTATTATCTTGGCCCTTTACTTGACTTCTATTAAATAAATGAATGTATTAATTTGTGCCATTATTCGAAAGGGTTTATTTTTCCTTTTCTAATTCGATAATTCAATTAATTATTTATTGTGTCCTCTGTTATTGCTTCCTCATAGAGGAAGGATTGTATTTTAGCAAAATTTTCGATTGCGATTTTTTAACATATTTATAAACTTATTTTCATTATACCTAATCTTTTAGTACTTTATGTACGAATGGGCACTGCCCACATAAGTGTTATAAATAAAAATTTTTATGTCATTTGTCTATATTTTCTAAATTTAAAATAGTGAAGAGTCAGTGATTTAAATAGTAATATTTATAATAATCAAATAACGAATAATAATTCACTTCTAGGTTTTCTCTCTGTTATATCCTTATTAATAAAATCAGACTTTTGTCTGTACATTGCATAGAATTCAAAATTTCTATTATATTCCTTATTTTTACACTCTAAGGAATGCGAAAATACTATTAAGAAAATTATGTGTATATGTGTGTATGTGTGTATGTGTGTATGTATGTCCGCAAATTTTCGACCGCGTATCACGGAAAAAAGGTTCGATCGTTTAAAGTGAAACTTGGCAGTCTTTTAGGCATTAGCCTAACTTAAAATCCTAGCGATAGTAGATTAAAAAATATTAATATGGACGAAAGTTATGCCATTTTTTCAAAAATTCGAAAATTCGAAATTTTTAGTTTTTTCATATACTTTAGTGAATTGTACTTAAACTTGGTACAGGGTTAATTTTAGTGTTTCTTATTAAGATTTAATCGTCAGAATAATAAAATTTTGAATAACAAATAAAAAGTGTTAGATTTAAATATTGAAAAATTAAAAAATTAAAAATTGAAATTTTTTTGTAATTAATTTTTATACGGTTGTATTTCTTAGGTCAACAATAAAAATTTGTTGTTGAAATCATAAGTTTACTTTCTTAAAAAAATTCTATTAGGTCAGAATATTAACAATATCCATATAATTAATATGAGACTTTTGTCAGTATATTGCACAGAATTCAAAATTGCTATTATATTATATTAATTAATGATCAAAAAATGAAAAACTCAAATTTCATTCTGATGACTAAATTGTAATAAAAAATACTAAAATTAACCCTGTATCAAATTTAAGTAAAATTGATGACAATAATTATTTCAAAAGATTAATTTTGAATTTTAAAAATTTTGATAATATATAGCACTAGCTGTTGTACCCGTCTTCGACGGGTTTTAGTTTCTACCAATACATTTAACAATGTTTCTACCAATCTGGAAAATCAAAAATACCCGGGAATTTAATTTCATCGGAAAATTAATAATTAGTAACCATTAGCTATTTCGGTAGTATAATTATACTATTTGAATAGTCTCCACCCTTTAGCAAAAAATCAAAAATTATCAAAAATTCGAGAAACCGAATTTCTTAAAATTTAACATTTTTTTCTTCTCTTTTATATCATTAAGCTTCATTATTTTTGTACTCTTCAAAAATACTTTACTTATATTTAATAGTCTCCACCCTTTGGTAAAAAATCTAAAATTATGGAAAATTAGCAAAAATTCAAAAAACGGAATTTCTTAAAATTCAACATTTTTTCTTCTCTTTTATGGTTTTTGGCTTCATTATTTTTGGGCTCTTCAAAAATACTTAACCTAATTTGTTATCTCCACCCTTTGGTAAAAAAATCTAAAATTATGGAAAAATAGCAAAAATGCAAAAAAATGAATTTCTTAAAATTCAACATTTTTCCTTCTTTTTATGGCATTTAGCTTTATTATTTTTGTGCTCTTAAAAAATACTTTACTTATTCAATAGTCTCCACCCTTCGGTAAAAAATCTAAAATTATGGAAAATTAACAAAAATTCAAAAAACCGAATTTCTTAAAATTTAACATTTTTTCTTCTTTTTTATGGCATTTAGCTTAATTATTTTGGTTTAATGTAGCAAATTTCTTACTTAACATACTGATCTTTAAATAAAAAACTTTAATAACTTTTCCTGAAAAGCTTGCTTAAAGATTAAAAATCACTATTTTCTTAGAAAAAAGTTAATCTAAAAAAACGAAAAAAAATTTCAAATACGTCTTTTTTAAAAATTTTATTGTAGAAATGGGTTTTATTTATCTGAAAAAGTTAGCTAATGATAGTTTTGCATTTATTTTACAAAAGATAAAAAATTTGCATTTTTTTGATTTTTCGAATTTTTTGGAAAAATGTCATAACTTTCGTTCAAGTTAATATTTTTTAATCGGATAAGGCTATGATTGTAAGTTACGTTAATACCTAATAGTAATATAATATCTTATTTAAAAGTTTTTATTTCGATCTAATAAAAATTTATTTCGTTTAAATAATTTTATTTAGTTAAATCAAATAAATCTTAATTGGATTAATTAAATAAATACTTGACTCTAATAAATGAATTTATTTAACACAAATAATTTCTAAATTTTATATTTTTTTATGGATTGCTTCTAAACTTTCTATAGTTGAGTATTACATGTTATTTATTAACATTTTAGCATAATTTTGCAAAAAATAATACTTTGTAACTAAAATGGAAATATAAAAATATTTTTAAAAAACTTTCTTATAACGAAGATGTAAGTATAAAAATGTTTTGAATATCAAAAAATTGAAAAAATTATCTTGATACCAATTGCTATGAAGCTTAATTCAATAGTATTTGTGGGCTCTCTGATTTAACTTTTAGAGATATCTTGATCAATGTAAAGACAAAAGTTAAACACGGTGTTTATTTTGGTTTAAAACATTTTCCGGCTTTGTCCAAATTTTTCCTGGTTTATTCGACGGGTGTTTTTTAATAATACATTTAACAGGGTGTCTACCAACCAGAAAAGACGTAAAATATCAGGGAATTTAATGTAACCGAGAAAAACTGGATCTACTTGCTATACAATTAGTTCGAATTAGACTGTACTATAACTCAAAAAACTGGAGGAAATTTTAGATTGATTTTAATACATTATATTGATTGAAGTACTACAAATTGAGAAATATTGTTTTCTGCATTTGAATTAGTTAAAAATAACTATTTTGATAATAAAAAGTCGGTCACTGTTTCAAATGGTATTATTTTCCTAATGAAATAGACAATAGTAACTAATTATTATTTTTTCCCTGTCAAATCAAATTCCCGGCTATTTTCCGGTTTTCTAGGTTGGTAGATACACTGTTAAGTGCATTATCAGAAACTACAACCCGTCGAAGACGGGTACGACAGCTAGTTTTATATATTGCATTGAATGTATTATTGAAAATTAACCACTGCATATGCAGTATGATTTACTTCTACAAAATTTTGATTAAAAACAGGTTTTTAATTAATACAAAAAAGCGTTTATAGAGAGTAGTAAGATATATATGTTTGTATAAGAATTAAAAATATTTCAACGTAAGAAAATTTGTTGGCCCTGAAAAGGGCCGATTGTTTTGTGTGATCGAAAAAAATTAAGCACGTTCTCCTCGGATACGACGGGCCAATTGGATGTCCTTTGGCATGATGGTGACTCTCTTGGCGTGGATGGCGCACAAGTTGGTGTCTTCGAAGAGACCGACGAGGTAGGCCTCGCTGGCCTCCTGGAGGGCCATCACGGCGGAGCTCTGGAAGCGCAGGTCGGTCTTGAAGTCCTGAGCGATTTCACGGACCAAGCGTTGGAAGGGCAGTTTGCGGATGAGGAGCTCGGTGCTCTTCTGGTAGCGACGGATCTCACGGAGAGCAACGGTTCCGGGCCTGTAGCGATGGGGCTTCTTCACTCCACCGGTTGCAGGCGCACTCTTACGAGCGGCCTTGGTGGCGAGTTGTTTCCTCGGTGCCTTTCCACCGGTGGATTTACGCGCGGTTTGCTTGGTACGAGCCATTGCTTAGAAGTTCAGAGTACGAGGGACAACTGAAAAATGGTTTCGGCGATATGAACGCACATATTTATAGCTTTCAGAAGCTCTTGCACCAGTTAGTCAACGGGAAGGGGAAACTATCATCCTGATTGGTTGGTCAGATCGTGGAGGGGAGCAGTGGAACTCCAGAGGGAATAAAACTGTGCACTTTCCACAGATTAGCATCATTCCGAGTTTGTTTTCTGTTCTGTTCGAACGTAAACCTTATTCTCTGTGAAAATGACTGGTCGCGGTAAGGGAGGAAAGGGATTGGGAAAAGGAGGAGCAAAACGCCATCGCAAAGTGTTGCGTGATAACATCCAAGGCATCACCAAGCCTGCCATCCGTCGTTTGGCTCGTCGTGGTGGAGTGAAACGTATCTCAGGATTGATTTACGAAGAGACCCGTGGTGTCTTGAAAGTGTTCCTTGAGAACGTGATCCGTGACGCCGTCACTTACACAGAACACGCCAAGAGGAAGACCGTCACCGCCATGGACGTCGTCTATGCTCTCAAGCGTCAAGGCCGTACTCTTTACGGTTTCGGCGGTTAAATTACCCATTATCATCATCAAAACAAAAACAATCGGCCCTTTTCAGGGCCACCAAATAGTTTTACGTTGGAATTCTTTTTTCAATTCATTTTAATTTCTAGCTACTGCCGTCTGTATAAGGCGTTTTTATATTACATTATAAACAATACTGTTTATATTTTTTGGTATGTATAATTATTTCTTACATGTAGGTACAAGTAGTCAATTTAAATTCAATTTTTTTTAGTATCAGTTTAGTCGCCCTATACAAAAAGACCTTTTGTTGAGCTCTTTTTAATTTTTTGGCCTCCTTTGTCGTCTCCTGCGTTCTCAGGTTGGCGATGGATACTCGGCGTTGGTCCGATTTTTAAATTTAATACTTTCTACACGGGCACACAGTTTTTAACATTTCTATTTAATATTAAAATTTACGTAAAAAACTCAACAATTTTTACTCTGTAGCTCGGAGCCAAAGAATGACATGTTTCTTAAGGTGCAAAATACCTTTAGAAACAAGATTCTATCACAGTGGAAGGGACACAATGAATAGGAAGGACCCTTCGTAAGTCATGAAAGGGCACCTAGACCATTCGAAAGTGGAAAGTCATTAAAAAGGCGTCAAACGTATTTTGAGACATCTCAAAATACTCGTTAGAATATAGAATTCAATATTTTGAAAATTTCAGGGTGGCGTATCCCCTTAACAAATTCTTTCAGTATTCTTCAAAAATATCATTTCTAAAAGTACAATTCACAGTTAACGCTCACATCATGTTGTAAAGCACACTTCGCGTTGTGACGCCATAGAGAGCGCATCGATCTATTGTAGTTCTCTCTTTCGGATATTCATTATCGCGTAATTTGATCTTTAAAAGTCAAGTAAATTGATTAATATCTTGATTGAATTATAAACTATATAAAAAAGTGCATTTTTTTAATAAAATACAGTGTTTATTTTAATATAAAAAGAAAAAAAACGGTTTTTAAAAAGTACTGTGGCGGGCAGCAACAGACAAATGGTGTCATGACGCAGTTTTGTAAAATGTTTCATAAAAATAAAAAATGAGCAACAATGCGGACAAAGATAAAAAAGAAAATAATTCGAGTGAGAATCTAAGAAAAAGAAAACAATTGGAAAGTCCCTATTATACGGACAGTGATAATTCATTTTCAAATACACCCGGTGTGTCGTCGAACGAGAAGAATGAGTCCCTATCGCAATTGCTAATAAATTTCTCTCCAGCTGAAAAGAGAGAAATTAAAGAGCGTTTAAGATGTGCAAGTTTCACTCCCAATAGACAAATCAAACATCAACCGAAAAAATTAAAAAACAAAGATAAAGAGTTGGAATTCCTTGAAAGGGACAATAAAGAGGTTAAGTTGCAATTAGCGACACCTGGTGACAATAAAGAAAAGATGCAGGTAGACAAATCGAACGTAGGTAAAGTCGAGAGCAAACTTACCACACCAAATCAAAACAATGAAGCCAAACACTCGAGAAATAAAAATAAAAAGCAGAGCATGAGTCCACAAAAAGCTGTTCACGAAGAAATGGATCAAGACGAGCATAAAAGCGATGAGTGCAATCAGGAAACTATATCATCTAAATTTGCGGGACGAAATAAATTTGAGGTTCTAAGTACGCTTCAACAACAAGAAAAACATGATGACGACAATTCGAAGGAAATGCAGAGCGAGATTACAGATGACTTCACACAAGGTTCAACTCCGAGCAAGAATAAAACACAGACAGACAGCAAGCAGCGCAGAAAAACAATTGCAGCGAGAAACAAGTTTACTTCGAAACTTCCTCCAATCAACATTTATAATGGTAACACTAAAAATATAATAGCGTGGTTAAACGAAAAAATTGATAAAAATAACTTTGTATTACATAATTTTTCTGCGGTTAAAAGTGTATTAAAAGTACGTAATTTAGAAACTTTTGATCTTGCGTTAGAAATATTAAAACTAAATAAAGTAGATTTCTTTACTAGAACTCCTAAAGAAAGAAAAATTCACTCGTTTTTATTAAAAGGGATTGTAGGCGATTTCGACGAAAAAGATATCGAGCAAGAATTAACAAATTTAAATTTAGACAGCGTTATAATCAATAAAATACAAAAAATAAATACAAAAACATTTTTTAAAGCCAAAAGGGGCGGAGATGCTTTTTTAGTGCAATTGCCAGGAACTTCAAAAGTTTCAAATTTGTTAAAAGTAGACCGTCTAGCCAGTCAAGTCATTCGATGGGACAGGGTTTCACGAAAAGAGGGGGTACAATGTAAAAATTGCCAAAGAATAGGGCATGTTTCAAAGTATTGCAATAGGCAATACCGATGTGTGAAGTGTTCAGAGAAGCACGAGCCGGGAAATTGTAAGATGAATGAGAAGGACGAAGGGGAAATTCGCGATTTTACAAAACTTTTTTGTGTTCATTGCAGGAGTTACGGTCATCCTGCCTCGTATAGAGGGTGCCCAAAATTAAAAGAGACACAAGATAAAATTAAAGAGCGCATTCATAATAACAAATTACAAAGACAAGATAAATTTGCGAGAATTGCAAATTACGTAAATCCGACACTCTCTTACGCGAAAATTGTCCATAGCAATAATAAAGAAGAGTCAGCAAGTGAGACTGTCAATGACAATATAAGTGATCAAACCGCGTTTTTGCAAAATAAAATAGAATCAATTCTAGACACGTTTAAGACAAATTTTATGACTTTCATTACAGGAGAGCTAGTAGAAATAAAGAGAGCAGTACAGCAAAATGCGGAGAATATCCAAATACTATTTAATTCTAAAAAAATACAAAATGGACCTTACGCCAAATAATAAGTTATATAATCGTAATATAGTAAAGAAATAAGTCTAGTCAACTTTCTTTTGAAAAAATTAAAATTATTGCTATTAACGTAAATTCAATAATTACAAATCAAAAAAGATACAATATTATGCAATTAACTAATAAACATAATCCAGAGTTAGTATTATTAAGTGAAACAAAGCTTAGTAATAGACATATACTGCAATTCGAAAAATACACAGTTTTAAGAAATGATAGATCAGCAATCAATAAGGGAGGTGGGGGCACCGCAATTCTAATAAAAAAGGGAATAAAACATCACAAAATCGAATTAAAGTCAAAAAATAAATTAAAATCGTTAGAAGTAACAATAGTAAAATTACCGCTTCCCAATAAACAAAACCTTTTTATAATCAGTGCTTATGCTGCAAGCAACACAAAGGAAAATTTTATAAGAGATCTAGATACGTTATTTAGCGAATTGAGACTGTATGAGAACGAAAACTGGTATATCCTGGCCGGGGATCTTAACGCTAATCATCAGGATTGGGGTGGTACTTCAGTTAATCAGAGAGGTGTCTTTTTTAGAAATTGGTTAAAAAATAACGACATAAAACACAGAATTAAACTTATCGGTCCCTGTGAACCTACTTATCCAGCTGGTAACTCATATCTAGATATTAGTCTTTTGGATCACAGAATAACAGTAAATAATCTTGTAAATAATAAATTAAAAGTAATAACATACGATAGCGATCACAATGCCATAGAATTATCAGTCTCACTTACAGGTATGGAAGACCTTCCTATAGAAATAGACCAGACATCACACAGATATAATTTTAATAAGGGTAATTGGGAAGACTTTGAAACATTCTTTGATTCACATAAAAGCGAGGTCCCTAGTAATGTTAACTTAAATAATAACGAAATCGATGATCACCTTTTAAAACTAAATAACCTAATTCATGAAGCAATAGAGGTCTCAGTTCCTAAAATTAAAAGTTTTGATTCGATAGGAAAGTATATAAATCATAAGATTAAGAAATTGCAAAGTAGAAAAAGTTTTCTTCTATCGAAAATTAATAGACTCAAAAAACAAAAGGCTGATAAAGAAGAAATCAGAATGTTTGAGTATTTATTGCATGAGGTAAAGGAAAGCTTAAAAAATGAATTCTCAAAGTCTATAAATAATTACTGGCATGGAAGAATATCTTCCATTTCACTTAAAGATAGCAAAAATATGTTTCCTGAAATAAATAAAGTTTTCAAATCAAAAAGTCAAACTGAAATGCCCTCATTAAAAGTCCCAGCAAATAAAAAAGAATTGTTAGATTCGGTAGAAATTGACACTAATAATATAGGAAAAGATGAAAATGATAACTTTATAATATCTGAACCCGATGATAAAACAAAAATAATTGGTGCACATTTTGCCTCAGTTTACGTCCAAAATGAAAACTTAGGTCGACCAGAATTAACAAATATTATTAACAAAAAATTAGAACCATTCGAAAACGATCTACTAAATGATTTGAAAAACGGTAAAACTTTAATAGAATTTAATAATAATAACAGGGCAACAAATCCTAAATTCCAAGAAGACGAAAAATATTTTTGCACTTGTGAAAAAATAATTAAACTATTTCGAAAATTAAATACAAAGAAATCGGCGG